CTTAATTTTCTCGTGATCTCGACATAACGAAAGTTGTTTTCTTGGGACTCACGACATAACAAAAGTTGTTTTCTCGTGATCACGACTTAATATTTTCTCGTGATCATGACATAATGAAAGTAGTTTTCTCGTTATCACGACTTAATTTTCTCGTGAGCACGACATAACGAAAGTTGTTTTCTCGTGATCACGACATAACGAAAGTTGTTTTCTCGTGATCACGACATAACGAAAGTTGTTTTCTCGTTATCACGACTTAATTTTCTCGTGATCTTGACATAATGAAAGTTGTTTTCTCTTTATCACGACTTAATTTTCTCGTGATCACGACATAACGAAAGTTGTTTTCTCGTTATCACGACTTAATTTTCTCGTGATCTCGGCATAACGAAAGTTGTTTTCTCTTTATCACGACTTAATTTTCTCGTGATCACGACTTAACAAAAGTTTTCTCATTATCACGACTTAATTTTCTCATGATCACGACATGACATAAAAGTTTTCTCTTGATCACAACTTAATTTTCTCGTGATCTCGACATAACGAAAGTTGTTTCTTTTTTACAATAATTATTTGATCTACTGTTGCTATAGTAACGAACGCAGCTTTGACACACATCTGATCGACAGATAAACCATGTGCTCTTACTGTATGTCGTGGATATTTCCGCTAATTTTGCTTCGCTTAGTAATAACGTCTACAATACATAAATAAAGGCTGATCAATCACTGTTGATATTTCCAGAGACAGTACGCTAAACATTTTGTTTGTGTAATTAACATGTTTAAATGGTCAAAGCAACACCGCAAACACAGGCAGAACACCTTCAGAAGGATGCAGAGAACTATTCTAAAATCTTTTAGAGCTGCTAAAAGATTACAACACTGTAGAATATCACTGAATTAAATAAGCCTATACACTTTACATATAGATCACATTTCTTATCAATATACGTTTAATGATTAACAATAAAGATTAAAAATAAGGAAAAGAGGCACATTACAAATGCGTCGTTGAAGCGCGTCCTACTGTAGATAAACACAACATCCCTGCTTAACTAACAATCATGTACCTCAAAGATGCACAAATAAAGATATAGGTGCAAACAGAATACAGTGACGTCAACCTTTGTTTTAATAAGCAGTTAGTTTATGACACGGAACGGTAATGCAGTAGTGAAACTGTGATGAGTCATGCATCTAGCAAGAACTGAACGACAAACAAAATAATCATATTGATTCAAGCATTTAACATTTATGAATTAATTAAATGTCAGTAATGAACAATACTGCACAAATTATAGCGATCACGAGGTATTTTTTGTATCAAAATAAATATCTTTACTGTCACCTTTGATTAATTTAATGCATCCTTGCAAAATAAAAGTATTAATTTTATAATATATAAATTATATTATAAATTATATTAAAATTATATATATATATAATACTTTAGTTATAGTTATAAAGTGTAGTTTTATGTTCTTTTAGAATTTATTTTAATGCAGCTAAAAGGCGCTGCAAAGATTCAAGCAAAGTAATTTCTGATTTCATGAATATAAATCCTTTTCATTGATGCAAGTTCAGTCTCATTTTTTTTTCATAAAAATGAAAAGTGAAAGACTCCATTAGTTTGATATATCAGATTTGACAGTAGTTCAGATTGCTTAAGGTATCAGTTCCTCTAAACCAGAGATTGTCTATAAAGTATCAGTGCACTTAAAGTGTCTGAAGATTATTACATATAATTGCAAAACATCAAAGCAAGTGTTATTTGTTGTATTTCTCTCTGTAGCTGTGGAAGTCCAGTGCTAGAACACATTTGGGAGGCTGATTTGGAGGCTTGTCATCTGCTCCTGAAAGGCCTCGATCAGCGCACATCCAGCATCTCCGAAACTGAGGATCTGCCCTCCGTCCCTGGATCGGCTTCAGATGTCCTGATGTTCAGTAAAGAGGAAGCGGACTGCGCCATGTTGACCGCTCTAGGGGGCCGCTGGTGTCCCAAGGCCGACCTCCAACACTCAGAGTTCACTAAGGTAAAGCCAACACATGAAATATCACCAAAATTAACCCCAAATTTACTTTAATACATGTTCATGGTCTAAAAATGTTCGTCTTTCATTTTTAATTTTTCGACTGAATGCATCTATAGGCCACTTGGCAAGTATTGGATAGAATTAACCCTGTAAAGCCTGAAATGAAATAACCTGTTTGAAAATGGAAGTTTATTTCACCTTTAGACAAAATCTAAAAAGATCTGTTGTTTGTTGAGTATCATAATTAATACATCAGGCCTCTATGGCTCATATAGTATTATAATGTGAGAATATGAAGGACAAAAAACAAAATTTCAAAGGTCCAAACTGAGCAAAAATATGCAATTTGGACAAAAAGTGATGAAATTCTGATGCTTGTAATGTGAATCACTGAGATCTTTACATAAAGATAACTTACATAAAATTATATAAATATCAGTCGTCACTCTATATCTCCAATTAGTAAGATGATATTTAAATGCTTAGTGCATAATCAAAACATAATGCAATCCAATACTGATTGAGAGATGAAGAAATAAATGTTGCTCAAAAGATGTGAGATGTTCTGGAGGCTTGTGAAGATCATTCCACCGCTGAGGAACAGTGAGAGTAAAGCTTCTGGAAACAAACGCTCCTCAAAAGCCTGATGATCAATGGTACTTGATAAAAAACTTGATACTTTTTGTTAGTGTAATAATATGCATATTTTATATACTTTTGACAATTTACATATATGTGTGTGTGTGTCATCTTTGACCGATTTGAACCTGATGAGTACAGCACTGATGAGTCTCACACTGGAATACATCTTGTGCTTTATGAAAGACTCACGAAATGAGAAACTAAAAATAAAAACCCTGTTCCTTCGGCTCCCTCCATTTCCATAAAAACCATCTATTTGCTGAATGACTCTAATTTCCACTCTGTTCTTCTTCCTTCGCTGCCCTTCTTGTTCATAACTTTCTCGAAGTCGTTCTAATATCTTCCAGCTCAGCAGGGCTCTGTTGTCTCTGTGTCTTCTCTCTGTTTGTGTCTTTTGTCTGTTGAAGATCAGCCACTCTTCCTAACACTCCTGCAGGACTCTGAAGGTGAGGTGATGCTGTTTTCCTCATCTCTCTCATCTCCCACTCGCTGCTCTTCATCTCTCCGGTTTGATCCTCATTAAATCCGTTCTCGCATAGCCTACACAGCACGTTATTTATGCTATATATGTGTCATATTTGTCTAGCAAACCTAAACAATGTGAATATAATAAAAGCAGTTTATTATTATTATTATTAAATAATTTATAATTATATATGTAAGTGCAAGTGTGTTTGAATAGCATAAATAATTATAGTATAGTATAGTATATAGTAAATTATAGTTAGTAGTACTTATAATAATAATAATAGATATCTATAATTATTTTGTTATATTATATAATATTAATAATAATTATTATTAGTAGTATTAGTAGTATTTATGCTATTTGACACATTTGCACATGTATGTATTATAGTAAATGATATTAAATACTAAACACTAATATAATTAAATAATAATAGTATCTATTAACTATACTATTACTAACTACTATTCTAATATCTAGAAAATAGATATTTTTAACAATATTTACTTTAATTTACTAATATACAGTATATATATATATATATATATATAATGATAATAATAGATATGTATAATGATAAAATGTGTATCATATTATTAATAATAATAATAATAATATGTATGCTATTTGGACACACTTGCACATACAGTGGTGTGAAAAAGTGTTGGCCCCCTTCCTGATTTCTTATTTTTTTGCATGTTTGTCACACTTTAATGTTTCAGATCATCAAACAAGTTTAAATATTAGTAAAAGATAACACAAGTGAACACAACATGCAGTTTTTAAATGAAGGTTTTTATTATTAAGGGAAAACAAAATCCAAAACTACATGACCCTGTGTGAAGAAGTGTTTGCCCCCCTCTTAAAACTGCGGTTTATCACACCTGAGTTCAATTTCTACGATACTTTGTTGCCTGTAGCCGTCTGTTTCTTATGAATATATTGCTTTAGCAATAAACCATTGACTTTTTGACAAGCTAAATATGATTTTAAGCCAGGTCAGAATCTAATAAAAGAGGCAGTGGTCTCGGCCCAACCATGGGCACTTTAATATTGCTCCTGCCGACAGGAGATGATTAATATTATGTTATTTAAATCCCAATCCATGAGACATGAAGCTGTAATCAGTTTTTCCTGAGGTCGGCTCCCATCAGCTGGAGTTAAACTAATAGATCTGCCACTGTGTGCTAATCATTGTCTGCTTTAGCACACAACTCCTGAATGCAATCATTACCCACACAGATGGGCCGAACCCGTTCAGTTATTGTGCTTCTTGTCAGCCGTAATGACGAGTTATTGCACACTTCCCGTAATGTCAGTGCGCTGAGTGCTTTTTAATAATAGATGAGGTTTATTGTTTTGTTTTAATCTTCAGCTAAAGTGACTCATTGGTCCTCCTGTGTCTTGCAGAAATTAGAGGAGTTTCTCTTCTGTTTGGAGGACGCGTCTCCTGAGGTGAGTGACGGCTGCTGTGTTTACAGGAATCTGATGTTAAAAATGTGTCTTTAAAGTTCAGATGAAAAAAAAAAGAAGCTCTCTCATCATTTACATTTCGATCCTATCACACAATGTCATCATTTGACTTAAGAATATACTTGAAGTGTGGGCTTTGTTTATTGTACATCTTGTCATTCTTTGACTGTGACAACGCCTTTTTTATTCACTTTTGTGAGAAAGAAAATCATGTGCTCGGAATAACATTAGAGAAAGTAAATGACAGGAATGGAGTTTATTGTCTTTATCTCTGATCTTACAACAGTCATTTTAACCCCGTCATAAAATGGACTGCATTATGACAGAATTAAAGCAGTTCTATTTTAATATCATTTATATGATATTATAGTTTTTGTTAATATTTTGAAATATTAATATTAATAATATTAATATTTTCTGTTTAATTTTAGTTAAAGTTTTTGAAATTTTGTTGTGTGTTTTTGTCTTTTTTTATATCACTATTTATTTGTATTTCAGTGTTTTTTTATTTTTTTTATTTCCAGTTCATAATTTTAGTGCTTTAACTTATTTTAGTCATTTACCAAGGCATCATTTCTAATGTTTTTTTTAATATAATTTTGTAATGTGCTTTTAACATTTTTATTAGTATTAGTATTTTTTTATATTACTATTTTTGCTTAATTTGTATTCATTCTTTTTTATTTTACTATTTAGGTTTCATTTATTTTTATTTCGGCTTTAGTTTTTATTTATTTCCAGTTCGTAATTTTAGTGCTTCAGCTTATTTCAGTTAGATGCCAAGGCATCATTTCTAATTTTGTTTAGTTTAATTTTTTATAATTTTGCTATGTGCTTTTAACATTTTTTTTTATATTACTATGTATATTTCATTTATTTTTATTCATTTTTTAAATTTTACTATTTAGGTTTAATTTTTTATGTAATTTTAATTTATTAATTTATTTAATTTTAATAACTATGTAATTTTAATTTATTTTTACTTAAGTTTTAGTTTTAGTTCTGTTTTAATGTTTTCAGTTTATGTTTCTTATCTGATAATTTTATTTTACTTCAGCTTTATTTCAATTAACAAAAATGTTTTTAGTATCTGTATAGTTTGTATTAAATTTGTATTTATTAGTTTTAGTTTATCTTAGTTTTATTAGTTATTAATTATTAAGTATTAGTTTTAGTACTTAAAGTTAAACTAAACAAAAATGAGGAATGTTCCCTTGGCAACTAGCTGAAATAAAAAATATATATATATATTATATTATGTCAGTTAACATTTATTTTATTTCAAGTAATGATGTAAATAATGGTTTTATGTTGTTTTAGTTTAGGTTTAGCTATCTATAATGACCTTGAGTTAGGTCAGTCTCACAATCAGCGTTAGAAAGCAACATGCTGGTTGATGGCTTTTGCATAATAGCTACAGCATTGCATTGTGGGAAATGGACAAATCAAGCCTGTAGTGGGGTTTGCATGAGCAGGGATTTTAATTAAAGCCACCCTGACCTCTCCGTCAATACTTGAACTTCAGCACCTGACTGTGTGAACAATGTTCAATCGATAACCAGTCCATCAATCCATCCATTCAGTGCAGCGTTTGTGTCAGCAGTGCCTCCTCAAAGCCAGACCAGAGTTACAGCAGACATAAACATTTAAAAATTAGTCTTTCTGAACCAGGAACCAGAATAACAGACCAAAACTATCGATGAGTGCTTAGAGATGTCACTGACACAAGTAGCAAATCAAGTCCAAATACCAATAGGAATTTCAATAGGAAATCTCTCTCACAGGAAAGAACTTTGTTTGTCAATCCATTGCTATCAGTCTGATGTAGTTTGACTGGTTCTTTAATGAACTTTAATAGATAAGGTAGAGGTCAGTATTGTGTCTGGACCAAGAAAAAGCCTTTGTTACAGCAGTAGAGAATGAATAATATAGTCTCTTCACACATTTTAGGTCTTTTTAGTGGTTTATGTTTTATAGCAAAATCTTAAAGTATCAGATATTATTGGAAATGATCATCAGTTCTTATTTTAAATGCTCTTTATAGACAGCAATTTGACTCACAATTGATTCCAGTGGAGTTTGATGGATTGGTCCACATTTTTGTATTAATTACATCTATTATAAGATATATATATATATCTCTTATAATATATGAAGTAAAGCTGAAATATATATATATATATATATATATATATATATATATATATATATATATATATATATATATATATATATATATTTCAGCTTTATTTCATCTATTATAAGATATATATATATATCTCTTATAATATATGAAGTAAAGCTGAAATATATATATATATATATATATATATATTCATATATTCATTCATATATATATATTCAGTTTTCATTTGAATTTTTAGTCTTTTTTTGTTCTGTGCTTTTGACATTTTCATTTGTTTTTAATGTATTTTATTTAGGTTTAATTTATTTTTATTTCAGTTTTAGTAATTTTAGTGCTACAACTCAAGCTTATTTCAGTTAGTTGCCAAGGCAACATTTCTAATTTTGTTTAGTTTTTGTTTTACATCAAATATTTGTATTTTATTTTATTTCAGCTTTATTTCAATTAACAGAATTTTTAAATTTAAAAATTCTTTAGAATTTAGTTAATGATAACCCAGATGGTGCCATAAGATGTTGTCTAGGTAGGGAGAGTTTTATATTCTCCATTTCTTAAGCTTTTATAGTCATAATTATTGATATACTATTATAGTTTTTAGTAATATTTTGAATGAGCTTTTTTATATTTTCAGTTTTCATTTTAATTTTAAATATTACTATTTTGGTTTATTTTTATTTCGGTTTTAGTTTTATTTACATTTGCACGTTTTTCATTGTATATTTATATTTTATTTGATTTTAACTTAATTTCATTTAACAAAAAATGATTTTTAATAGTTTTAGTTTTAGTTAATGATAATAACCCGGATGGTGCCATAAGTGGTGCTTTTGGATGGTGCTTTTGATATTTCTATTAGTGTTTTTATATATTACGAAACTATTTATCTTTAATTTACATTTATTCTTTTTTATTTTACTATTTAAGCTGAATTAATTAATTTTTTTTATTTTACTTTTTTTTTTTTTTTTTTCAATTTTAGTTTTAGTTCAGTTTTTATCAGTTTATGTTTTTCATCTACTTATATATATTATATTTTATTTCAGCTTTATTTCAATTAACAAAAATGTTTTTAATAGGTTTAGTTGTGATTGTTGTCTAGAGCTCAGTAGGTTTTAGGACTTTAGGTTTTATATTCTCCATTTCTTAAGCTTTTATAGTCATAATTATTTCAGTTTTTATTTTAGTTTAATGTTTAGTAATTTTGTCATTTTTATTATTATTATTATTATTTTAAATATGACTATTTTGGTTTCATTTATTTTTATTTCAGTTTTAGTTTTATTTACATTTGCACGTTTTTCATCGTATATTTATATTTTATTTGATTTTAACTTCATTTCATTTAACAAAAAATGTTTTTTAATAGTTTTAGTTCTAGTTAATGATAATAACCCGGATGGTGCCGTAAGATGTTGTCTAAGGCAGGGAGCTCAAACCTCACATTAAATAGCCTGCAAATGTCTTCTTAAGTGGGAACAGTGCATTTGATACGATCAGATTTATACTAATCTTCCCTTTGTGAAGGACATTTGTAGTAATATGCCTCTCATGATTATCACAAAGGTACAATTTTTGCAGTCTATATGCAGACTGCGTCCTTTTAAACGCAAGAAAGCGGTCGCGGTGACCTTTAAGAACATACGCCCCGTGTGATTATCATTACGCCTCAATAACTGTATCGCTCAGGCCGTTTGGTGCGGCTGTTTTTCCCGAATGCGTCCCTGGAGACTCCAGCCTCATTCAGAAGTGTTTTAATTCACCCGCAGTGTGATGTTAGCATCTATAAAAGGTGTTTCATTAGCTGGTGTGGGGGGTCTAAGAATAGACCGCAGACCTCATTAAAGCGACACGAGGCCGTTCCTGAGAGAAACGAGCGGACCGGAGTCAGTCGACCACCTCAAGATGCTCTCTGACTCAGAAAAACAGTGAATCACGCTTTGATGGAATTGGGACGGAGCCGACGGACCTGTCCCACTTACCTGGCTGGCGCTAAACTGTTGGGTGAAGTCATTAGCGCGCCGCGGAGGAACACGCTGTCGGTTCAGGACTCAGATGAGAGGAAGAGGAGCCGACAGCCACGCTCACGTCTGACCTCACAGTCGCTGGCGGATTAACGTCATCATTTATACTTCTCTGCTTTAATATTTGCAAACTGAGATTATGGATTGTTTCACTGTTTTCATGAATGACCCAGTTAACACACGCTAGTATATTTAGCTTTAATTTTAGTACTTCAATAGAAACTTGTTGCAAAGTTTTTCAAGTATTTAAGTTTTTAATCTAATATCTATATTTTATTTCATTTTAGCTTTCAGCTAACAATGGCATTTAAATTTAAATGATTTTAATAGTTTTAGTTAAGGATACAAATCAGTTCTGAAAATCCCATTAGTCAATGGAATTTTGTTTCCAAATTTGCTTTCAGAAATCCAGTTTGCTGTGTTCCAACTTGATTTTAAACTAACCTGGCTCTTTCTACACCCTTAAAACACTTCTTATATTTCTATCATTTTAATCTCCATCAGAGCTTTTTCTAGCATATGAAAAGCAGAAAGAACAGATTCACACATATTTAAAATCATGAATGCTGTGAAAACATGTTGTTTTAACTTCCGACTGTTTTCCATCCATGTATTTTAGTAACATGTTGCATATTGCTGTAAAAATGACACACATTTCGGTGCCGGATGTGTGCAAATAACCATTTTACCAGCATATTAGCGCCATACTTGAGCAGCTAGAGATGTGTGTGAGCAGCAGTGGGTGTTTTGCGGGTTTAATGGGTGTGTTTTTGTGTCTCAGGATCTGTGTGAAGAGACGACAGAGCTGACGGAGCGCTGTGAACTCATCAGTGAGCGACTGCATTACCTGGAAGACCAGCTTCAGACCGCCATAGACCACCACGACAAGGACCTCACTCATATCCTTACAGAGCTTTGTGTGTGTGCATGTACTGTTCATTAGTTGTTCTTTTAAGTTGAATCACTATTAATGTGTTCATATTTTGTGGTAGGAGATTGTTCAAATCACTAACACTGAGTATTACAACGTAACAATTTTGACCTGGCGGACAATAAAACATTAAAGAATCCCATAATTCCAAAATCAAACACTGAGTGACTATTTTAAGTTGCCACATAGTAACCATACACAATGCCATAGCAACCACCAAGAACACTCTAGCAACCACCTGTAACGCCCTAGATCCACCAAGAACAATCTAGCAATGTCCTAGCAACCACCCAGAACACCCAATATGTCAACGCCTTAGTAACCACCTAGAAAGCCTTAGCAACTACCCGGAATGCCCAAGCAATGCCCTAGCAACGACCTAGAACAATCCTTGCAGCGCCATAGGAACCACCCAGAACACCCTAGCAGCAACACAAAACACCCTACCAATGCCCTAGAAACCACCCAGAACACCCTGCAACAACGTAATACACCCTAACAGTGCCCTAGCAACAACCTAGAACACTCTAGCAATGTCCTAGCAATCATCTAGAATGCCTTAGCAACCACCCAGAACACCCTAGCAACCACTCCGAACGCCCTAGCAACCACCCTGAATGCCCTAGCAATTCCAGAGCAAACACCCTAGTAATGCAACACCCTAAAAACCACCCAGAGCGCCTTAGCAACCACCCAGAGCATCCTAGCAACCACCCTGAATGCTCTAGCAATGTCAGAGCAACCACCCAAATCACCCTAGTAACGTAACGCCCTCAAAACCACCTAGAGTGCCTTAGCAATCACCCACAACATGCTTGCAATGCCCTAGCAACCACCCAGAAGACCCTACCAACCTCTCAGAACACCCTAGCAATGCAACACCCTAGAAACCACCCAGAGCACCTTAGCAACCACCCAGAACATCCTAGCAATGCCCTAGCAAACATCGATATCACCCTAACAATGCAAGACCCTAGAAACCACCCAGAGTGCCTTAGCAACCACCCAGAACATCCTAGCAATGCCCTAGCAAACATCCATATCACCCTAATAATGCAACACCCTAGAAACCACCCAGAGCACCTTAGCAACCACCCAGAACATCCTAGCAATGCCCTAGCAAACATCCATATCACCCTAACAATGCAACACCCTAGAAACCACCCAGAGCGCCTTAGTAACCACCCAGAACATCCTAGCAATGCCCTAGCAACCATCCAGATGACCCTAGTAACGCAACACCTTAGAAACCACCCAGAATATCCTCGCAATGCCCTAACAACCACCCAGAACGCCCTAGAAACCACACAGAACAACCTAGCATCACAGCAGTGACTCTTGCATGGCCAGATGCCACACTTATCTTCAGAATATCTAGTTTTAGTCAGTTATTCTGAACTTAATATGGGTTTGTCTCTAATGGAAGTCCTTAGGGTTTCTTCAGGTCGCTCTGATTGGTTGTTAGACTGGAATGAAATGATCTGTGCGCTCCGTTCTCGTGTTCTCGGTCGGGCCTTATAAAAATCCATGAGTGGAGAGGAAATGACTCATCAGCTCTTCATCATTCTGCTGTCACATACAGCCACAGGAACACGTCTCAAGCTCATTAGAGCCACTAATGTAATGTGCCCATCGCTTTAACCCTCCAAAAGAGCTCCTTCATGGAAAACCATCTCATTTGACAGCACACGATGCTCTCTTCCGGACAGGACTTAAGGATAAGACTGAACGGATCACTGGCCATTTCTTTTTTCTTTTTGAGTGATATTTAATATGAGGAATGGGATTTTAGTTATTAGAGAAATTCAGAGCTCAGCAAAGGTTGAAAGGAGACTACAGACAGAGAAAAGGGAAATGTAGACAGACTAGCCGGCCCGTCACTCTGAAGTGAGATTAAAGCAGTGAGATGAAGGGAAAGGTTATGACATAGTACACTGTCATCGCTCTGACATCTTCATATTTCTGGCCACCATGTGTGCCGAGCGGATCCGTGCTTTTGCATTGACTGAGAGGAAACGGTATAGATGAGATTGATTCGAACGTCCGATCTTGTTCTGCTTCATTCCATCCAACTTTGTTTGACTTTGTTCCTTTATAGCGGTAGTTCTCACGTGGTTTTGCTTCAGGATCAAGGTTTTACATTAGACATCGAGGAGCACTAATTTTGATTATTTCATGCTGTTTACAAAAATTGTGAACCAATGCTTTGTGTGATTTGTTCCCGTATTTGAATGTTTTGTTTATTTTATATATATATATATATATTTTTTTTTATTTATTAAATTATTATTTAAATGTGATTATTTGTAAAATGTA